GCCACTTGGGGCCCAATATGTTTTCGCATCGCCTCATATGCCACCGTCAGCTCGATCTAGGGGCTCCGGTGGCTTTGTTTTCCCACGCTGATGGCTCGGCACCTGGGAACCAATCCACGTACAGTCCAGCTCATCCACAACTCCCGGTCAAGAAAAGGGCCCGATAGTGGACAAGTCCAAACCTGCGTGTCACGATGGAAGACAGGACGATTGTGCGACATGACTTTCTCTTCTCGAGACTTTTCTTGGGCTATGCTGCGATTTATGAGTTCAAGGGCCATTACCACCAACACGGCCGGGTTTGCATTATTGAGAAAACAAGCGTAGGGGTGAATTTCAGTCTCTGACGACGTCCAACGGGTTCGGGCTGAAGGATGATCTACATAACGTCTCGCACGGTCTGGGTTTTGGCCGATCATTGTGCATAGGCCGCCTCTGAGGCTGTCGCAGATGGCGAAGGCCCGATGCGCGAGGGCGGCAGAAGCGGTCTCAAGAATGACGCTCATGGGACCGACTTGTCCAGAAGCCGAGCCACCAGCGACAGCCTTTGGCCTGGTTACACTTCCACTACGGCCAACTCTGAGCATGCCACTTCGACACTTGCACTAGCTGTAGGCGTGCACCACCAGATGCGTGCCTTGAGTGCCAAGCATGCTACCATACGATGTACAAGACTGGAAACGAGCCAGGGTGTATCTTGATGGGAGGACACTCGGAGATGATCATGCGCATGGGCGGCCCCAAGCAGCCAAGTGGAGAGCAACCAGTGAGCGGGTTGGCCTCATTAAGGCGCCCCGAACAGGGGCCAGGGAGAGGATACATATCATTTTGTGCTTGGCCCTGGAGACCCGCTGTCTGACTTGGAGGCCCAGCGAAGCAGGTCGTGAGTAGTAGCCAGACAGACACCAACCCAAACCCCTCCCGGCAAAAGTGTCCGGCCAGCGCATCCACGACGCAACGCAACCGATGCCATGGGTCACACATGTACCATGTATGCACCTGTAATGTCCATCGGCCAAGGGGCTGGCCTGGCCCGATGGAGTAGGGAGTCGAGATGTGCAGCTGTGGTTTCCTGAGCCATAACAGGGTCTTTTCGTCCGCTATACGCTTTACAGTACCTGGCTGGGCAGGGAAGAGACGACCCAAGGCCACCCTGATCCATGCTGATATCGGGCTTTTTTTCTGCCCTTCCCCTCCCCTCCCCATCGCTATAGACTGTGGCATTCTTTTTCCTTCCGGTACGCTTTCAACAAATGGGCGGCAACATAGTGACAAAAAACATGAGAGACCATCCCCATCGTGCAGTGACGACCTGGGCCGCTTCTATCTGACTCGCGAGAAGAGCGGCCTTGCCTGGCTACAACAAAGCTCGGAATTAAACGAGACACAGGCAGCGCGTTCGACCAAGCGGCCCTGGCCTCCAATAGCTTACTAGCTTGGAAATAGCCAGCGCAGTATTTGTCTGACGCCGGCCACTTGCTACCTGACTTGCCTGGGATCGTATGGACTACTGGATACCATTTACGTCCTCGACTTGAACCGTCTGCTCCAGTCCATGCATCATACTTCCCTCATGGCCTTCTTCTAGGTGAACCTCCGATCATAGCCCAAACCAGCAAGCCCTTTCCGCTTGGCAAAGGGGTCTCATCAGTCTGGAATGATCTTCACGGTGCCCTTGTAACTCTCTACGCAGCCAACACCACAACCAGGGCAAAGCTGGGCCGCTGGCCAGTCCGCAGGCTTCGTTTGACGCCACCCCCCGTCGCCCATCTCATCTCATAACATCCCTTCTCAAGCCGCCTCCTTCTTACCCCTGGATGGTGAGGGAGGATCGTAAGGTATATTTGCTACTCCGATTTGCCGGTCTCATCTCTTCGATGCCCAGCCAGGCCTGCACATGACCAATGTTGCGAGTGTTCCATCGTCTCCTTGCGCTGTTTGTTTGCCACTCCTCCACAACATGAAGGGGCGCCGTCCTTCGTCCAGGGGGGATGGAGAGGGGCAGAGGGGGAGCAGACCAGCAGCTGTTTCGTGCTATCCCGCGCCGGTCAATTAATCCACATTGACATTCGTCTTTGCGACCCATCCAAACCTAAGCACAGTGGGTTCTGATCTCCCTATTTGGAACCTTTTTGACACGTCCTAGGCGAGGAATATCGCAGCCTCGGCGTTGCATTGTTGGTCTGCCGCCGCGTTAAGGATGGATGAACAGGCACAAACCTGTCGACAGGCAACCTTGTCGCCAGTCTCGCTTCCATCTGGCTTGTCAGCGCGCGCAGTAGGCGTACGCGTGGAGTCTCCTGCATACGAATGAACTGGCCATGGCCAACTTGACCCCCTCTCACTCCACCGCGCTCCTGAGGCGTCTCACGTTCCTTGCGTTCTTCTCAGTCATCGCTGCTCTCTCTTGGGGGGGGGGGGGGGCAGCAACAGCACAGGACACAACTGCCCGTGTGTCGAGCCAACGCACTAATGACTGTCCCCAGGCGGCATGAAACAAGCATAAGCCCAAGCAGCAGCGGCAAATTGCCCAGAATGGGGCTTCAGGCAGCACATGCCGGACGGATGACTTTCTTCTCCTGCCTTGGACGCTCGGGAAGGAGAATCACTCACCGCCTGTTTACCCCCCACGGCAATCCAGCGCCGAAGCACCTGCAAACGACAGACTCGCCCACTTTGTACGACGTGCGTCACCCTCAACAACCCGCATGGCGATCCTGCTGTTCCCCTCAAGCCTCCTTGTTATTCTGCACGCAAGCAAGCCATCGGCCGCGCGCTCCCTTCATCATTGACGTGCATGGTCCTCTAGACTCGGTGAATGTGCCGCCTTCTCAAAGTCTCGACCCTTTCGGCCTTGCATCATCTGGCCAGATCGGGAATCTTGGCTGCCCGACAAGAGCACCCGCTCACCTTGCACTATTTGGATGGAGCTGATGCTTGCTGTTGGCTAGTGCATCAGTGGCGAGTTCATCGAATCCCTCTCGCTGCACTTTGAGGGTGGCCGTGTCCACCGCGAATCCCAGCACAGCCTCCCTGTTCAGCCAGACGCACCGATGAGCCAGGCCATACAGGACGCATGCGATGAAGGTGTCTCCAGCACCAACAGTACTGTTTTGATCATGAGCCATTTGTTGAAATCAGACGGGGAGAACAAGGCACTGGTCGACCTACTCGACGACGTCTCCATTGGGCACTCGCGCCGGATGATGGACACAAGTATCTTCACCCAGGCCCAGAGAGGCCGCCCCGGCTGCGCCCCAGGTGCAGAAGGCTAAGAACCTAGGTCGTCGGTCAGTCGAGGATGGATTTCATGTATCGCCCTCAGACAATCCGCGGGGGGCCTTCTTCATCTGCGACTTACGCACGAGCCGGCCTCTCCCCGAGCAAGCACGCCTCAGACGATGTGTATCCGCAATCCTAGGCAGCACCGCAGGTCTCAGCAATCAAGCTCACACACATACTCAGCGTGTCTCTCTCTCTCTTTTGCTTGGCCGTGCCGCAGAAGCAACGTTTGATGCAACTCACCTCAGCCCAGCTTTTGGAAAAGAAGGCCACGTCTGCTTCGGCCGCCAGGGCGCGCAAGCCCTCGCGGCCCGGCTTCTCGACCTCGACGCTGATCTGGACAGACTCGCCGAGTTCTTGCCGCAGCACGCGCATGCACGCGAGGGTCGTTGCCGGTTCGCGTCCCTCGAAATGCCACCACCAGCGGCCCGCGTTTCGCCCCGTGCTAGCGTGCCCCCGTTCGCCCGCAGCGCGCCCGGTCATGGCCCCGACGATGGCCGTGAACTCGCGGACCGTCATGTCCGGCAGCGTATTGCTGTTGACGATGGTGCGACTGCCAGTCGCGGCGCTGCGGAGCACGTAGCAGCTCGCGGGCGTCATGTGTCCCGCGCGGAACAGACAGTGGTCAAAGTCGACGGGAGGCGACGGACCCCGGCCGAACGACGCGAGGATCTGCTCCGTCGCGGGGCTGTCGCGCTGCGGCAGCGGCGAGACGAGGTGCAGCTGTGTCTCGATCGCCGGCGGACTGGCGAGAGCGCCCTCGGCCGCGAGGAACTGCTGCAGCACCTGGAGGGAGTTGGGACAGTTGCCACCGCGACGAACCTGCTGCTCCGTGGCGCGCAGTTTCTCGTCTTCCTGCGGGTATCGGGGCACGCTGTCAGACGTGCGGTCAGCGATGCATCGGCCGCCAGAGGGGAGGACGAGGTTCCTTGCCTGAGAATCGTGTCAAGGTAGCAGGCCCCGACGAGGACAATGTGCTGTGTCGCTTGATGCGGTGTCATTGTGGAGGGTTGGCGGCCCTTGGATGCTGCTCGTGATGGGGTTGTGCGGACCGAGAGCGACCAGTTCTTGTCGGGTGAGTGTGTCCTACGTCTCCGATGGGGGTGGACTCGTGATAGCCGTCTGCGGCTCCTGCGCTACGCGGCTTGCTGCAGATGACCGACTACGTCTTCTGGTCGTTGCGCGGTGATGCTGCCGTTCTGCTTGGTGGTGGTGATCATGATGAAGATGATGTCCAGAGTCCTGACTTTATTCGCGTCTGCCGCACAATGGCTGGGTACTTGATCTTCGATTCGCCTATCGGGTGGAGACCCATTCGACCATGTCCCAATGTAAGCGACACGTCTTGTGGCTCACATCCCGTCCACGGAGGCGGCGTTCGGGTATGTTATCGCTGGCCTAACTGGAGTCGCAAGATGATGACGAGAAACCCCCGTGCACCATGCCGTCGTTGAATCGTTCAATAGTGTGGCAACGCGTAGTTCAACTTTGCCATTAGGATTTTCGCCCAAGACGGGGACTGTGCATTTCCCTACTATGTATACCCCAGGTATAACCCTTCAACTCCAAGACCTCAAGAGGGGCAAAATGCAGTCATGTGCTTTGCACTTGAAGAGGCTCGAACAGCCCTCCAAGTATGCCAAACTACCAGTACGCAACAGATGCACTGCTATCAGTGGGCCACCCCCAAGAGTGCAACCCTCAGCCTCGATCTCCCATCATGCCTCGTCCTCCTGCCTCACATACACGGAGAGCCTGTTGCCGTTGCCGCAGAATTCGTCGTCCGCCCCCGCGCAGAGCATGCTGCACTGCTCCTCGGCCGCCTCGGCGGCCCCGGCGTGCAGCTCGTCGCCGCAGAAGCACTCGCGCCCGTACTCGGTGCCGAACATGGCGAACCCCTCACAAAACGCAGCGCACGACTCATTCGTCATGTCGTCCGCCGCGCGCTCCTTGCCCGACAGCGCGCGGGCCCCCGTCGGTTCGGTGCGGCACCCAAACCAGACAAAGTCGCCCGCAAATGCAGGCTGGCGGGGCTCGCGAGGCGGCGTCGAGGCGCGTGCCGGGTCCTCGTAGAGGGTGAGGCGGTTGGGTCCGCCCGCAGTGCGTGAGCGGGTCGCCGGCGCACGGCATGGCGCAGTCATCGAGGGGCGCGACGGAGGAGGAGGCATGGAGAGAATTACCGCAGTAGCACTCGGCCGCGTACTCTGTGCCGAAGTAGCGGTAACCCGTACAGAACGCAGCGCAGTCGGCCAGGGTCATCGAGTTGGACGTCGTCGACTTTGCCGACAGGGCACGCGGGACAGACGTCGCTTCTGTCTGGCAGCCGACGAGTGTGAAGGGCGAAACTGTCGGAACGGGCGCAGGGCCGGTGGGTGATGGAGTATTCGATGAAGACGCGCTGGGTGATGATACGGCCCTGCCGCTGCTAGAGGGGAGCGAGCTCGGGGGCGCTGCCGAAGACGTGGCCTCGCTCAGGCTGACGCTGGACTCGGCGCCGCCCGTCGTGGCGGCGGTTGAACTTGCGAGCGGTGCTGACGATGCGGCACTTGCCCGGTACAGCTCGAGACGGTTCCCGTCGCCGCAGAACTGAAGAGGGTCCCCTGCACACCTCATGTTGCACTCGTCTACGGGCGCGGGACTGCTCAACGAGTTAAGAGCATTGCCACACCAGCCTGAGAGGTTAGTATTCTTGATCGGTCAAAAGCAAGACGTGGATCCGGCGACGGTGGGCAAAGGGAACCAACTCACATTCTCTGCCATATTCCGTGCCGAAGTAGGTGAATGCGGAGCAGAAAGCAGCACACTTGTCCAGTGTCATATCATCTCCTGCTGTCGTGGCGCCACTCAGAGCCCTGGCGCCCGTATTGTCTGTCTGACATCCCACACGCACGAATCCGCGTACACTCGGCACACGCGTCGGCTCAGGGGCGGCGGTTGTACTCGTGCTTGTCTTTGTGGCTGTTGTCCGGTAAAGCTCGATCCTGTTGCCGCCTCCGCAGTATTGCGTCCCATCGCCGGAGCAAGGCATGCCGCAGTCCGCAAGTGGTGCCGCGGCGCTCCCAGAGTGAAGGGCGTCGCCGCAGTAGCACTCGCGGCCGTATTCAGTACCCCAGTAATTGAAGCCTGTGCAGTTGGATAAGCAGGACTCGAGAGTCATGCCGTCATAGGCGAAGGAGGCGCCAGTCAGGGCGCGGGCGGCAGGAGGCTCGGACCAGCAGGAGACAAGGGTATAAGGGCCCATCGTTTGGCGGCGGTATATCGAAGGCGTGGGCGAGGATATTGTCGTCATGGTGGTAGAGGTGGCCGAAGGCACGACGGAGGTAATGGCTGGTGTGCTGCAGACGTTACTGACAGGCCGAGACTGACATGTCCCGCCGAGAATATTAGCCTTCTTGAAGGCATCGACGCGGTCGCCGCTGAGAATGTCAAAAGTAGCCTCAACGCTCCGGCCGCCAGGTATGGTGGTCGATACCGAAAATAGTGTATAGGGGCCGATGCAAGGGCCGCGGGTCAGGTCGAGCGTCAGGGTATTGAGGGCAGGTACGACGCTGCCGGGTCTGGGTTGTCTGTAAGATATGATGGCGCGGACGGGCAGTTCAGCGCGGTCGTTGCGGACTGCGGCTGTGAGAGTTGTCACGCCGGACGATTGCAGAAGGCAGCTCTGATAGCGTTGCAGAAAGACGGCGTCCTGGATGGGATACGAGGCGCCATTGTTGTCGTAGACTGTGTTTGTGCCATCGGTGCGGCGGACTGTGACGGTGAAAGACGAGATGCCACTAGCGAGCGGTACATTGCGGGCGATGGGAAACCACGCGAACGAGTCGTCGAGGCCGCGGCCGACGCCTTGGACAGTGAGAGGAAATGAGCAGCCGCTTGATCCGCAGTCGTTGCCGCCGTTGCGTGCCTTGTAATCGATGGTCAGACCTGCAATAGAGGTAAGTGGCACATTGGTGGTGCGGATGCGGATGAACCCTGTCAGCTCGATGACGGTGCCTTGCGTAGAGAGCGTCAGCTGCAGGCCGACGGGCTTGACCTGGTACGGCTCCAGAGGTGCCGTTAGAGTGACGCTGGGAGGCACGACGTCGATCATCTTTTGCAGCACCGTCTTGCAGACGTCGTTGAAGGCGGCAGCCGAGGCCATGGCCTGCATGGTGACATTGCGATCCGAGTTGTACACCTTGAAGTCGGAGTGCTTGTTGAGGCCGACGGCGCGGCCCACGACGAGCGGATTCTGGGTCGTGCCATCGAGGTACTCGGTGACGATCTTGTTGTCAAAGATGGCGACGCTCGAGTCCAGGGGGATCTGCCCGTTCGTTGCGGTGCCCGCCGGAATGATATCTGGAAACTCGGCCGAGTGCACGCCGCCAATGGTATGGCCACACGCGGTCACCTGAATCATCTCTTGTGGCGAGAAGCCCATGCGGTCAAACTGCGTCCGGAAGATACTGATGGCGTTCTGCGGTTGTGGTACGCCCACGGGCCCGGCGGTCGTGGCATCTCTCCTGCCGGCGCGGAAGGGAACGGCGGGGGCGCGCACGCTCTTACGGATATGTAGACCGCCGAGGGCAATGAGGTCGGCCATGGAACTCTTCTTGGTCATGTAGGGGCTCATGAAGGTGAGGGTCGTGCCGAACCCGGGACCAGTGTTCTCGCCGTTGTTGAGCTCGTACTGGAGGGAAGCGTCGATACCGCCAGTACCGCGGGCCGTGTTGGCGGTGGCCATGTCATGAAAAGCGGTGCGGAGCCACTCGGCAGCGTTGTGACGGCCGGGGCCGGATGCCTGGTTGGTGCAGGGGGAGACGGAATCAGCAAACTTGCGGGAGCGAGTGCTCGTCGTCTGGAACATAATCTCTTCGAGCTCATCCGTATCAGCGGGCCAAGTCGGGTCCGCAGTGGTGAGGCCGAGAAGAGCCACCAACAGGACTGCTTGGAGCTTCATCGTGACTCCTTTGACAAACTCGCGCCCTCGGTGGTGCAAGATGGGCGAGTTAGGCGTGGAACAAGCAAAGATCCTGAACGAACGAGGCGGATGACAAAAGCAAAACAGAAGGCCAACTATTCACAACAAGGAGAGCGGCAGATCCGACCGACAGCCCACTGGGAGCAGAGGAAAGGGAAGAAGGGAGGGCGAGGGGAAAGATGATGGCGGGCAGGAAAAAGATGCATAATGATAGACGTTATGCAAGACGAAAGGCACAGCTACAGCCCGTCGTGTCACCTCCAACTCTACAGAGCCAAGCCGATAGCAGGTCAGCCAACATACGGAAGCGGTCATGGCACTGCACTCATGCCGCGTCCCAAGAAGCCGGCTGAGGCCGGGCTCGAAGCGCAATGACAGCGAAAGGGCTGGCTACCATATCGGAAAGCAATAAAAGAGTGGTGGTCGATGGGAAAGCTTGGCTTCGTATTTCTGGACGTGGAGCACAGTATGCTATCGCACGCTAGCGCTGCTGCCGTGACGGGGTGGGGGGCTAGAAAGGCACAGAGGCGTGGTAAGGCGTCGGACGACTGCCAGCTCATTGGAGAGGCACGGTTGGGCTGGGTGGCAGCCGCAGGTGGGATGCTCAGGGTTCAGCCCACGTCCTTAGCGAAGGGGGAATAGCAGCGACAAGAGGAGCCTGAACGGGACAGACAAGTCAATAGGTATTGGCCTGCGTTGGCGATATTGGGCGGCTCACAGGCTGGGCGGTGCTGCGGTGTGGCGGCGTGTGGGCTTCGGCGTGGTGCTGATGACTGCTTGTTGCATGATTAGACGAACAGACTATTGACCACGGCTGACGGGGTTGCGAGTGATGGCGGTGGCCTAGAGAGATAAGTAGCGCTCGGCAGAGGCGCAAGATCTTCAGGGACTTGGTAGGCGGCCAACCAGAATCGATTCGACACCTCAGTCTAGGCGTCTCTCCTGAGGAGGAAGATGAACGATACGAACTGGTAGATGGTTCAACGTTCGATATGGGTGGAATTCC